GTGTTTCAGTCAGTCTGCCTGTTCCGTTCCCCGCTCTGTCTCTGATGAATCTTCTCACCACCTCCAGCACCTCTGGCCTGTACCCCAGTTCTTGTATGCATAAATAAATAAATCTTTGAAAAAGAAAAAAAAGAAATTCCTTCAGTTAGCATCTGGTATATCAGGCGGGCAGCAGAGGAGGGCTACTGGGACATGGTCAGAGGGCCCAGTGGGTCACGCAGGATAGACATTGCTAATAATCACGGTTGGCTTCTAAATACTGGTAGCAATATGACTTCTGATTTTTAATGTTAGGTAATTTATGGGTAAATGAAAAACATCAGTAATCACCCACTACGGTTAATAAACGGCCCTTCAGATGAAACTTATGAGGGCTGGGCCAGCAGCAAGGTTTCAGAAGATGAGCTACCCAGATTTTTTTCTTCCCACGTCTGGCTGGCAGAGCAGCTTTTGTGGCCATTTCGGAAACCGCCCTCACTCCATGCTCAACATGTGCAACAGAAGCACCCATCCTATCTGCCAAATCTCTGCCTCCTTCCTCCACCTTTACTGGTTCTTGCATCATCATGGCTAGCTCCCACCCTGTGTGTTCATCGTTATGAAGATCCTTATTCTTTTTTTTTTAAGATTTATTTATTTATGCATACAAGAGCCGGGGTACAGGCCAGAGATATGGGAGGTGAGAGGATTCACCAGAGACAGAGCAGGGAGCAGAACAGGAGACTGACTGAAATACACTGCTGAGGGGAGTAGCAAGCGAGACAGGAGAGGTCTGCTGCGTCATGTGGGTTGCTCCCTGGCCGGCCAGGATCAAACTCGTGATGCAGAGGCTGTGATTGCTTCATAGTGCTTAAGGGGTGCTTAACCCCTTGCGCCATCAGGGAGGCCCTGAAGATCCTTTTTCTGAACCACAGTGATGGACCGGCAGGGACAGAAATGCTTGACTTCTGGTGTCCCTTCTGGGTTGTTGTCTAAACTGTCAATGGAGAAACACATCAGTATATCACCAGTGTCCGGGTAGGAAAGGGGCCTCCAGTGCTCATAATCTTCCTTCCCAGCTGTTTCCCACAAAGCCAACTCCCCATCTTCCCATCCACTTCCATAGCTGCCACATAGTTCTCAAACACCATGGGGACATACATCACTGTGAACAGGTCCCTGCTAAAGACGATGAGCAAGCAAGTCTCGCCACAGGCTCCATCACTGGCAATCACCAGTTCCTCCGAGATGGCAGCCATTGCTTACAAATGTGCTGCAAGACCCACAACTTATGTGGCACAAGTTCTATAAAATCTCTTGACTTTCAGATGAAAGGCACGCTGGCAACTCTGTGTCTGGTCTCTCTGTGCCAAGGATGCCTGTCCCTAAGACACAAGCTCAGAGACTAGGGTGGGCAGCTAAGCTGTCATTAGAGGACTAAGGGATAAATCTTTTTTTTTTTTAAATGCAATTCTGATCACTGGAAAGCCTAAAACCTTCCTCTTAGGATGGATACGTAAATTATTAATATGACCTCCCTGGCATGACATGATCTGCTTTCCTCACCACCACATCTAAAATCAATTCTCCTTTGTTCCTGGTACAATAGCAATGCTGGTCTTTCAGTTCTTCAGTTGAATCATATGCGTTCCTCCCTTAGTGTCTGCCATACATCATTCCCTCTGCCTGTTTTACTTTCATCCTTACCCAGTTTCTAGTCACTGTTACTTCCTCAGGGAAGACCTTTTTATCTTGCATTTTAAATCAAAGATCCCTTAGCTTTCCTTCATACCACTTATTATAATTAAATGATTATTTAATTAATAAAATGATTATTTAACTATATTTTTAGTGTGTAACTCCCCTGTTGTACCCTGAGCTCTCTGAGGACAGGGCCGCCTTATCTTGTTTACCACTGTCCCCATATCACAGACCATACTATCTTATCTGACTATTGAAAATCAGGGCTCAATATTTTTTCTTTCATTGAAGAATTACAGGGCAAATATTCTCTATTCCTTCTGTAAACTTCACATCCATTCACACATCACATCCAATCTTCTGGGAGTCATTTCTCTGTGACAGTGTTAGCTACCTTACGCAGTGAGGTCTAAGAAGTAGAGACTGCTGCTTTTAAGTGTGTGGTACAGAACCCAGCTGAGTCCTAGCTAGGGGAGGGTACAATGTTGGGAAAGCAAAGAGAGGAATAGGAATAGATTTATCAAAGATATTTCGTAACAACTCTTTGCTATTAAAATCTCCTTGGCCGGTTGTGGGCAGTGTAATGTTAAAGAAGCATGGGGTTTGCAGTCAGACCCAGGTTTGGATCCTAGCTAGACTATTTGGTAGCTTTGTGACTCTGGGCAAGTTCATCATGCTCTCTGTTCCTCAAATTTCTCAGTTATCAAATGAGGATATAATAATGGTACTTTTTTATAAAGTTGTTGGAGAGGTTCAATGACTTGTAAAACACTAAGAGCAAGGCCTGGACTTAGCAGTAAATGTAAGCCACTACTGTATGCTAGAAAATGTCAGCCACTATTTTTACCTCTGGTAAAATAAGATCTCCCGTTTTCCCCAGTGCCCATTTGGTACTGGAAGATGTTTAGGAATATTTGTGGTACTGCGAAGTTCTCAGTGGGAGGTTAGGATTGGAACACTTTGAAAATATAATGCCTCCTCCTCATTTCTTTTCTCTACTTTAAAATCTTCATATCGGAGCTAGTGGGAGAAGGAAAAGAGGAGAAACAGCTTCTGTTTGGTTCCAAATGACAGCAGCATCAGTATTCACTTTCTTGTAGAAGTCTGTTTCAGTTATTTACACATGTGTCTTTACAAACTCCATTGCCAGACAGATGAGATATTCTAAGGGAGGTTGACCAGTTCAGATTCTCGATACCTGGTAATTTGTGAATGCTAATTTTTTAAATCTGGCGAACCATTAGGCTCCCTTTCCTTCTTTTAGTTTTATTGGGACCCTTCTTGTCAAGCAGAGCCTGCTATGTGTAGGCCAATCAAGAGCATAATAAAATAATTGAAGATGGAATTGCAACAATGAACTCATTCAAGCAAGGGCTGCTGGAACCTTGGGGAAAATATTTCTCATAAGAAAAATAGAAGATACCAAAAACCCAAACAGTTAATCCTACCTCAAGACACAGTGTTCTCTCAAAGCCTCTTCCTTCTTTTCTGAAGGCACACACAGTTCTGGAGCAGAAGTTAGGAACCAGACTTTTCACCCACCCGCCAGTTGTTTTCCCCTCCCTTTTTAAACTTGTGGAAGAGCTGCCAATTTTAGAAATTCCTCCTTTGATCAGAAGATAAAGCAGAACAATGCAGTGGAGCTAAGTGGGTTCCTAAGGGACATTCTTCTAGGGTGTGTAAAATTAGCTTGAAGTGTGTATATTGGGCGGTGCTCAGGGGAAGTAGGTGAAAAGCTAGGAGTGGAAAGGGGTGGGTGTCTAGACAAGAGTTGGTAGCCAAAGCCACAAGGAATAATCATAGTTGCTTCTTAACATCTCTATAGAATGGCAACTCCATCAAATCATCTCCTGGGAGTTGTAGGCATGTTTAGGGGGCTTCACCCATTTCACATCCTCCTTCCAAAAGAAAGGAAGAAAAAGGAGTGCGGGAAAGAATTGGGAATCTTTCCCATTGTTTGTTGGAGGTAAATTTTACTGAGAATTGCAGTCTAATTCTACCATATTAGATTGTGAACCTCTGGAAGAAGTACACCCTCTTTTGTTCAGGACAATCTGTTGTAAAATGTTACAGATTCTAGTTAGAACTGAATTTGAACAGAGCAGCAGCTTCACTATCTGTAAATGAAGATATTTTTTCTTTCTCCTTGAAATGGTTATGTAATTTTTTAATCTAACATTTGAGGGTTAAATGTTTTACAAGCATAATCTTGTTTAATTCTCATGAAGAAGTTATTGCAGAGATTATATGTGAAGATATTTTTAAAATGTAGGAAAAAACCTTCTGGTTGTGAGTTATTATCGGGTTATCCTCCTTCCCTGCCTGTTGTGAGGATTAAATGAGGAATTAAAGTGAATGCACTTTACACAATCCACGTGGTGATGTGTTACTACTTACACACCCTACAACACCTGATCCACTAATTGGACTCGGTAAATGCTGGTTGAAGGGAGCAATTTTATATTTTGCCTTTTCCTTTCAGTCTTCCGATCACAAACTAATCATACTGTAGCCTGGAGCCCAAACCAGGAATCTGGGAGCCTCTGCCCGAGTAAAGGGGAGTGCCAATACTGCCAGGAGGGGGCTGGAGAACAGCCTCTGCCTGAGTAAAGGGGAGTGCCAATACTGCCAGGAGGGGGCTGGAGAACAAGCGAGTACTTCGGTGGTTGCAAAGCCTTAGGACTTGGGGCTGGAGAGGTAACCAGCTGGGGTCCCCAAAGGCCTCCCTTCCCTGGCCTGGGGCTGCAGGGATAGACATCCAGATTGTAGGGTAAATGGTTTTCAGGCTTTCCTGCCCTTCCACCATTAGGATTGCCCTGCCTGATGGGGCACCTGCAGTTGTTACATTGCTGTATGCTGTGTTGTTTACTTCTGTGGGCCATGGCTCAGTATTGCCATATTGGCCAAGGGAAGCAGAGGCAGGCGAGAGAAGGGGAGAAGGAAGAGGAAAGAACCCCAGAGAAGCCCAGAGAGAAGACTTGCTTTGGGCTTGGAGGCCTGCGGGCCTCCTGCCTGCCATGTACCTGGTTGCTGCACTACATGTAAAAGCTCAAAAGCCTGAGAAAGCTACCGAGGGCTCCAGGACTCTCCTTTACCCCGTCTGCTCCAATCACAGAAAACCTGCTCTGTGCTCATCCTGCCCCTACACAGGCGTCGTGGGCAATCCCGAGGGAAGTCGGACCTTGGCACCACTACAGCGACCCGACTCTCACGGGACTCGCCCAAGCCCCGCCCACCCCTCAGGTAGGCCACGCGCCCCAGCCAATCACAGGGCGCCTGGGCGCGGAAGGCGGTGCTTCCCTGGCCGGAAGTGACGTGTGGCGCTTGGCTGGCCGCGGAGTCCGCCGAAGCTCTCCGAGGCGACTGAGGGGAAAATGTCTCGGACCCTGGCGGTTGTGGCGGCTCGGGCTGTGGCGGGGGCTGCGGCGCGGGCAGCGTGAGGTGAGGAGCGGTCGGCGCGACGGGGGTGGGCGCCCGGACCCCTGCTTTGCGCGGGCGGAGGGGGATCCGAGGCCGGGAGGCTCCCTCCCCGCGGCCCCCTGCCCGGTCCCCGCCTCTGACCCCGGCCCCGGGCCGGACGCCGCCCGACGCGGCTGCGCCCTCCCGCCCGGCTCCCCCGCGGCTGCCCGCGCCCCGCCGGGCCCCGTTGTGTGCGGCGCGGGGGGTGGTGCCCGGGCGTTAGTTTGGTCCCAAAGGGGGGGGGCGGCCCCCCGGTCGCGGGGGCCGGGGCTGGAGCCGCGGCGGGGCCGGGTCGCGGTCCCGGGCGTGCGGCGCTTCTCGGCTCCGGCGCTGCCGCTGCTCGTCCGTGCGGCGCCCCGTCCCGTCCCGTCGGCGGCTTGGGGGCCGGGGGGGTCTCCCCTTCTCTCTTCCCGGCGAGTGTGACTTCGCCGCGAGTCCACTTGTTCCGGGAAGGCAGGATTTCAGCGCGTGTTTATTTAGCGCATCGTCTTTCCGAGAGGGCTGTCAAATGAAAAATATTTGCGGAACTCTTCCCGAGTAACGGAAGCACAGCGAATAATTCACGGGGAAAAGCACATACTCATGTTCCCCACGAAATGATTTGGCTTTAAAAACCGAGATTCTCCAGCTGTGATTTTTTTTCTTCTCCCCTCCCCACGCCCCCCACCCCACCCCACCCCCCGGGCGAGGGCAGGCTTTGAGGGGGGCAGTGAGGGAGGAGAAAACTAAGTGAGGCGGAAAATGTAGAGATAAAGTGGAAGAGCGCCCGTAGTCGTGGTTCTTTCCCTGGGTTAACTCGCTAGAAGCTGAGCTTGTAATTTTATTTTTATTTTGAACAGTGAGCGTTGGTTTCAGTGGAGGGAGGGTTTCTTTGAACAGGATTACCTGTGAAAGCGGTCCCCTCGAAATCTTTCCATGTGGGTGTCAGGCAGAAAAGCTCTGTGGAGAATATCGTTTAAGATACTGGAACATCAACCCACAGGTTAGAAGAGACGTAGAAAAGAAGAAAGCTATTGTTAGAACAATGGTGAAGACAGTATAAAGGGGAAGGAAGTGCTGCTCAGAGTTCCAGGAACATCGATTCCAGGAGAGACTGTATACTTTTGCCTCCTTGATTTATGGTTCAGGTCTGCACCAGGTGTCTTAGCAGATCTGCTGCGGTGGATGGGTTGGTGCTCATCATAGTAGCAAATTAGACTGAAGAGCTTTTAAGACAGCCTTTGCCATAAGGCATAGTGACTGAATAAAGAGATTTTTAAAAATTCATACTTAATTCAAGAGGGATTTTATATGAGTACAAAGTGCAGATAAAGCTTTGTCCGTGAATAACTTTGCCTAAACTATAAATTCTAAAGCAATTTTTTCCTTATGAAAATCTGTTGCTATTTGTTTTGTATGCGTGTTTTCTTTGCAAACTGTATTTTAATGTTTTCCTCTATAGATTTCAACAGCTTTTCCTGTTTTGTGGAATATAAAAGTTGACATACTTACATTTAGAAATTTTAGAAACTCTGTGTTATTAACTATATATGTTAAGCATATACTTTTTGTTTCTCCCTTCTGCCTTGTGAATGATTCTAAAATTTTCAGTTAATTAAAAATTGCTGCATCAGTTTCCCTCTTGAGGAATATTTCTTTAGCACAATGTTTTTGATTTAGTGAGCTCATTCAATAAGTGAACTTACACAAAGAATGTTGAATTTCCCAAAAGCTCAGTTTTTATCAGAGCATCAGACCAAACTTTTCAGAGCAGTAGAGCAAGGTACTTTTTAAAAAAAATGCTTTTTACCTTGTGTTGCTTTGATATTATACTTGCCATATTCCAAAAAGAATTTAAGGCAGGCAAATGATAAAGGTGAATGTTTACTGCAGTGCAGTCAGGTATGCGATTTGACTTGTTAGTTGAATCAGAGCAGAGGTAAAAATGGACTCTTCGAAAGCTCTTACTGTTTCACAGAGTCTGCAAGGGTGCTGCACATTGCAGTGGTTCCAGGAATGGGGGGGAAAAAAGAGAGAGAGAGCCTGCCCTCAAGAAGTTCTCTAGGCTATCTGTGGAGACAAACTTACAGAGTGTATCACTATGGTTATAAGGGCAGTGGTAGGTCCCAAAGTACTATAAGAGATTTGTCACCTGGGCTGGGAGATGGAGAGGGAATGAGTGCATCCAACGAGAGAGGTGATGCTCAAATTGAGTCTTGAAGGATGAATATCTTCCATTAATGAGGAGGGGATAGAAGTAATAGTTTCTAGACCCTGCTGTGATACTATCAGTGAGATATTAAGGAAGCTGCTTAATACTGGTGTAAGTTTTCCTATTTCAATGTGGGATATTTTCCTATATAAATGTAAGATATTTCACATTTTTGAGGTAAACCTTTGAATTCTGGAATGCATTTTACACTTATATCTCAATTTGGACTGGCCACATTTTAAGCACTCAGTAGTAGCTGCTAGTAAGATGGTACATGTTGGATGGTACAGATCTAGAATATGAAAATCTTGTATTTCTAATTTGATTCCTACGTGAAAAGGAAAAGCAATGAGAAAAAGGTAAAACATTTCCATGAGAAATGGTTTTAGTGTTTTTCTTCTATTTTGAAAGGGCACGTTTATTAGGAAAAAGATACCTGCGTAGACCTAGGTGGGCAGTCTTGGGGCAAGATCTGCCAAGAAACGTATTAGTAGTAGTTTATAATTTCTAGTCATTTTGGTAGTATTAATACATAATGCTTTTTTGATTGGAGTTATGTTCTCCTACTTGGAAATAATATCACTGTAGGATATTTTTCAGTTTGTTCATTTTTGATCTTTATTTTGTACTTCTCTGTATATTTTGTATCCCTCCTTTTCTCTGCAGTTTTATTTATGACAAGATAGAGTCAAAACACAATGGTAGCATGCACATGAATGTTTAGGCACTTTAAGGAGAATTATTCAACTTTATAATTGTATAAATTTCACATTTCCATCTCAGTGAAGTAGGAGGGTTCCAGTTTTTTCCACAACCTTGCCAACACTTTTTATTTTCCATTACAAAAATATATAGTCATTCTAGTAGCTGTGAAATGGTATCTCTTTGTGGTTTTGATTTGTATTTCCCTATTGAACGTCTTCCTTGCAGTAAACTTCCTTTTTATATGGTTGTTTCCAATAATTGGATGCATGTAATATACCGATTTTAAAATGCCTGTTATATGCTAGGCATTCTTTATAATTTATTTGATTGCCATTATGAGATAAGATCTGTGTTTTACACATGAGAAAAACTAAGACAAATGGAGATTAAATAGTTTAAGATTATTTGAGCTCAGTTCTCTTTATTTTCTCTACAAAATTAACAGCTTCATGCAGTTGGTGTCATGTAAAAATAAAATCTTGCTAGCCGTAGAAATTGATGGTATTAAGAGGGAAAATTCTAGAAGTACTTATGTCAGTTTTTCATTATTATCCCCTATTTGGGGTGTTCTCGGTTTTATTTTTTCCTACCTTAAAACATGTTGGAAGCATATACATAACATTTAATACAAAAGCTTACTATTGTCATGTTAGAATTGGAGTAATTTAGGGTATATTTAATGATTCATGTTAAATGAATGAACAATAAAGTAGTCCAAAGTTCAGTAATTATCTCCTCAAAGCAGTAGCACTGTTGGAATTCTGAGTTGGATTGAAAGTGCTTTGTCAGTAAAAAGTCTTTCAACAGGAACCTCTTGCTGTGGCTTTGTCCCCCCTTCCTTATTCCCCTTTCAAACATACACATCCTCAGACTCAGAAAGTTATTCTGAATGAATACCCTAATTGTGATTCTCTTATGTGTATAGTGTTGCTCCTAAGGGTTGGAGGTAGTGTAATAACTACTAGTACTTATTAGGCTACACTAATAACTACAGCAATGACTGTAGTCATTGCTTTTTTGTCCACATGAGAGAGTTAACCCCTTTATTAATTACTTGTAGTCCCTGGGTAAAGCATAATTGTAAGAGTGGTATGGAGTTAAAGAATGCAGAAGGCAGATTAGTATCATCCAACTTTAAAATTTTGAAGAAGTGCAAGAAGGCTCTTCTCTTAGCATTTCCCGTGATGTTCTTTTCCTGTGTCAGGTTACAGTTCCAATTTCTTCTTTTCCTTGACTACACTATTAAAAATAGCATCCCCCCTACTAAGCCATTCTGTCACATTACTGTTTGTTGTTTTTTTTTTTACCCCATTCTATTTACTGTCTCAGTTTACCATATTTGTTTGCTTGTTTAAATCAACCCACTTAATCCTAGTTCAAATCACTGCTGTCTTTTTTCCTAGACTATTTGAAACAGTGTGCTGTTTCAATTACCGGCTAATTGGTATCCCAGTTTCCATTTCTTTTCTCATGTCCATTTTCCATAGAACAAATAGAGATCTTTGATCAGGGTAAATCAGATTGTAACAGGGACCAAATCAGATGTTCCCCAGGAAAGGGGGAGGTTTCAGGTTCCCTGCCTCACCCAAGGAAGGGTAGAGCTGTGCGGAAAGGAGGTGAAGCTGCAGAGGAGACTGGAGGAAGGAAGGAAGCAGGATGGAGAGCCAGGAGGAGACCTGCAGGAGGCACATGGAGCAGAGAGACGTGAAGAAGCTGCACTTGATTCTTGGTCCTGGACTGGTTGAAACAGACGTGTGTGAGAGACCCGTGGGGAGGTTACCACGGGTATCTTGATTCTGCTTTTGCTTTTTCTGTCCCAGGTGTGCTGAGCCCCTTTTGCCCCTTTTCTACAGGGCCACATCAGTAGGTGCCTTAGACTTGTGGCAGGCCTTTGTGCCTCAGTGGCCCTACTTTGGGCCTATCCTCTTTGGCTGGGCATTTGCCCATGAGGAGATGGGTAACTTTGGGTGCTTAATTTGCCAACTATTTTACATATTCTTTCTCTTCTCTGTTGCTTACTAATTGTATTAAAGTTCCTTTGCATTAAAGGTCGTAATGTACTACAGTATGTACTGTCTTGATGTGG